TCTCACTTTGTCTCCCAGGCTGGAGTGCGGTGGCGCGATCTCGGCTCACTGCAAGCTCCGCCTCCCGGGTTCACGCCATTCTCCTGCCTCAGCCTCCCAGTAGCTGGGACTACAGGCGCCCGCCACCACGCCCGGCTAATTTTTTGTATTTTTAGTAGAGACGGGGTTTCACCGTGTTAGCCAGGATGGTCTCGATCTCCTGACCTCGTAATCCACCCGCCTCGGCCTCCCAAAGTGCTGGGATTACAGGCGTGAGCCACCGCGCCCGGGCTCATCTTTTCTTTTTTTTCTTTTTTCTTTTTTTTCTTTTTTGAGATGGAGTCTTGCCGTGTCACCCAGGCTGGAGTGCAGTGGCACAATTGCTGTCTCCACTCACTGCAACCCCTACCTCCTGGGTTCAAGTGATTCTCCTATCTCAGACTCCCAAGTAGCTGGGACTACAGGTGTGTGCCACCATGCCCAGCTAAATTTTGTATTTTTAGTAGAGATGGGGTTGTGCCATGTTGGCCAGGCTGTTCTTGAATTCCTGACCTCAAGTGATCTGCCCACCTTGGCCTCCCAAAGTGTTGGGATTACAGGTGTGAGCCACTGCGCCCGGCCCTGGATTAATCTTCTAGAACCAATGGCTCACATTTGTCCAAACTACTTACCAGGCTAGCTAGAAGCATCCCCTCTCTTGTAATCCTTATGTGCTGTCTCCCTGTGAGCATGCCCCTTGAGGACAAGGATTTCGCCTTACTTATCACTATATTACCAGTGCCTGGAATAATGCTGCTCATCCATTCGTAGGTTTTATCCATTCGGTTAATATCTGTGATGTTCAGTAAATATTGAATAAGTGAATAAAGTATTCAATGAAAGAACAAATACGTGACATCGCTCTTACCAGTTTAAATGGTGTGGTTATTTTCTTTTTCTTATATGAATCTTTTGCTCAAAACATACCTACTCATTGTTTCCTGAACACATGATTTACCTTGCCACCTCTGTGATTTTGCTCACCATTGTCTCCAGTTTGTAACACCCTTAACGCTCTTCTCTGATAATCAAAGATCTTGACCTTTAAGGCCAAGGCAAGTACTAATTTCGGTGTGAGCATTTCCCCAACGACCCATGATTTCAGTGACTTAGTCTCCCATCTTCTATTATTTTTATGGTCTCTATGTACTTAGCACACATCCCATATACATTTTCTATTTAAGGATATATTCTATCTTCCCAATTAGATTTTAAATCTCATGGAAACAGGAGTCCTATTTTATTTCCGTATTTATATTCAATTCCTAATCTAATACTAGAAGCTCTCTCTCTCTGTGTCTGTCTCTCTTTCTCTCTCTAATGTATATATATATTCTCTTGCCCAGGCTGGAGTGCAGTGGCATGATCATAGCTCACTGCAGCTTCAAACTCCTGGGCTCAAGCAGTCCTGCCACTTCAGCCTCTTGAGTAGCTGGGACTACAGGTGTGCACCACCACTCCTGGCTAATTTTGTATTTTTTGTGGAGATAGTCTCGCTCTGTGGCCCAGGCTGGTCTTGAACTCCTGGGCTCAAGCAATCCTTCCACCTTGGCTTCCCAAAGGGCTGGGATTACAGGAGTGAGCCGCCATGCCCAGCCATAACAAGCATTTAGTAGTTTCTAATGATGGTTAGGTTTTTTGCTTTGATACCATCATCATAAAAGATCTGGGGCACTCTTTAAACCTAATTTAGGTTGTAATTGAATAATGAAGCTGTTAAAATATGACAGTAACATTTCCATGTAACTTAATCCTGTATGTTACATTAATGTATCTGTATATATATTACAGTCATGTACACAGAGTCATAATTATACATGGTTGTTGCTCTATGTTGATGTACTATGGTTCAGTTTTCAAACGCGAATGTGATAGTGCATTCCAGGACACCTGTGTTCACAGGATCAGTTCTTTGAAACTATATTTGGATGTGCAAGCTATTAAAAGCTTCTTGTACTGAGTGACCTTTCAGGCAGAGTGTAGATTGAGTGCTCATGATACTGCTGCCTGTTGCTGAGAGGAAGACAGCAGAAAATTCTGGATTCAAACATTTATTGCTTTTTTGTTTTGCTTTGTTTTTGTTTTCTTTCCTTTTGCCTTAAGAAGATGAACAATGAAACCACAACCCTGATATCCTTGAAGGAGGCAATGAAAAGGTTGCTGAGGGCTATAGGGAGGGAGCAAGCATGGGTCTGCTATTCTGGGAAGATGGGTAAGAGAAGAATGAAGAATAGAAATAAACAAAGAATTACAGACGTGCTCATTAGAATTCTGTCTCTATGGTTGGCGCCGTGGCTCACGCCTATAATCCCAGCACACTGGGAGGCTGAGGTGGGCAGATCACAAAGTCAAGAGATCAAGACCATACTGGCTAACATGGTGAAACCCTGCCTCTACTAAAAATACAAAAATTAGGCGGGCATGGTGGCGGGCACCTGTAGTCCCAGCTACTCGGGAGGCTGAAGCAGGAGAATCACTTGAACCCGGGAGGCAGAGGTTGCAGTGAGCTGAGATCGCGCCACTGCACTCCAGCCTGGCAACAGAGTGAGACTCCGTCCAAAAAAAGAATTCCATCTCTATGACAGTGGTTTAAGTCTTCCAGGCCCAAACCTATGTAAATTAACAATAAAGAAAAGTCTGCTCCCAGGTGCAGTAACGCCATTGAATGTATGCATGCGCTAAATTCGATTTACAAAAAAAGGTAAAAGGAGCTCACAACCTGTAGGAAAGAGAAAAGTTTGAAAAATATTTACAATTTAATGTGACTGACCTTTCAACGGTGATGTTCCTAAAGATCTGTGCAAATATGAAGGGAGGATCAACCAATTTTGCCCTTGACACTAGAGAAAGGAACTCTTCATATAGGGTCATTTAAGCTGGATCTTAAAGTGCAAGTAGGAGCTTATGAGGGAGAAAAATATGGGAAGGAATTCTAGGCTGAGGAAACAGTGGGTATGTGCCATATGTAAGCCTGGAACCACATGATGTATCCGAGCAACGACAAGAGATGTCTCATGTATTGGTGACTAGGATGGGTGAGGGGACTGGCGGAAGACAGGAGCAAAGGGCGAAGGTCCTTGGCTTTCCTGCCGAAGAGATCCAAGTTGCCTCTGAGTAGATCACTGGGCAAGCCAGGATAACGTCAACCATTTGTAATCAGCTGAGGTACAGAATCGGAATTGTGTTTTAGAAGAATGTGTCTGGAGGATGGATGGGAAATGGAAAACAGGGGTCCAGTTAGGCTACTGTAATCTTGAGTCCTAGTGAAAGATGATGAGAAACTCATTTAGTGGAGATGGAGAGGCAGGAATGGGTTAGAGAGACATAAATTGGGGAAAGAAGAAAAGTTGAGAATTATTCTGAGATTTCTAGTTCAAGGAATTGGTTGGATGGTGAGGTCATTAACGGGACTAGGGAACTGTAGTCAAACAAAACAAAACAAAACAGCCTGCGCTCAGATTTGCATGTTGGTTTAGATTTTTGTGGAATGGCCTGGGACTGTCCTTTGGTGAGAGGATTCCGAAGAACTGCAACTGTACATTTTTATACTGATTGACAAGCTAGAATTACTTTCTAAGATTCAAACTACAGATGACCTATAAGCAATATAGTCTTAAAGGTCTAGAAGTTAATACAAATAGTATATGCCAAATGACTTTTTTTTTTGACACAGGGTCTCACTGTGTTGCCCAAGCTGAGTGCAGTGGCATCATCACAGCTCACTGCAGCCTTGGCCTCCTGGGCTCAAGCAATTCTCATACCTCAGCCTCCCCAGTAGCTGGGACCACAAGTGCACACACCACCACACTAGGCTAATTTTTTATTTTTTGTAGAGATGAGGACTCACTATGTTGCCCAAGCTGGTCTCAAACTCCTGGACTAAAGTGATCCTCCCGCCTTGACCTCCCAAAGTGCTGGGATTACAGGTGTGAGCCACTGCACCCAGCTCAAATCACATGGTTTTGCCTTGTAGACAGAAATTGCAGGCATATTAGGTCACACAGGCTTTTATTCCTACAAAGTGAACATTTTATACTGAGTTTTATCTATGTGTAAAGCAGTTGACATTTCTTCACAGTAATTTCTGAAGATGGGGGAGGTATTAGTAGGTTAAGCTTAGGAGAGTTGAGTTTGACATTTCCATCTTTGTGGAGATGCACAAAACATATTGAAAATACAGGTCTAGGCCGGGCATGGTGGCTCATGCCTGTAATCCCAGCACTTTGGGAGGCTGGGCGGGCGGATCACCTGAGGTCAGGAGTTTGAGACCAGCCTGGCCAACATGACAAAACCCCATCTCTACTGAAAATACAAAAATTAGGCCGGGCGTGGTGGCTTAAGCCTGTAATCCCAGCACTTTGGGAGGCCGAGGCGGGTGGATCACGAGGTCAGGAGATCGAGACTATCCTGGCTAACATGGTGAAACCCCGTCTCTACTAAAAATACAAAAAACTAGCCGGGTGTGGTGGCGGGCGCCTGTAGTCTCAGCTACTTGGGAGGCTGAGGCGGGAGAATGGCGTGAACCCGGGAGGCGGAGCTTGCAGTGAGCCGAGATCACGCCACTGCACTCCAGCCTGGGAGACACAGCGAGACTCCGTCTCAAAAAAAAAAAAAAAAAAAAAAAGAAAATACAAAAATTAGCCGGGTGTGGTGGCGCCTGTAGTCCTAGCTACTTGGGAGACTGAGGCAGGAGAATCGCTTGAATCCGGGAGACAGAGGTTGCAGTGAGCCAAGATTGTGCCACTGCACTCCAGCCTGGGTGATAGAGCGAGACTCCATCTCAAAAAAAAAAAAAGAAAAGAAAAGAAAATACAGGTTTAAAGCTTAGGAGAGATGTAATACCTGAAGGAGAATTAGCCTTGAGAGAAATTCAGAACCAAGAATAAAAGATGATCAAGCATAGAATGCTGGGCAGTCACAAAGGTATTCGGGTCACTGGGGACACGGAAGCTCAGAGAAGTAGCGTGTGTGTTGACTCATCACTTCCCTCATAATGACAATCTAGGTGGCTCAGACAAGTGAGGTGTGTCCTCCAGTCTCTGTGATTAATTAGACATAATGCTGGTGCCACAGCACCCTCTGATGGTCACGGCTGTTCAGAGCTACTCAAATCTTCATTTTGGGTTACAAAACTCAGCATTTCATTCACATCAAAGATGCCAATCATACAGGAAAACTTTTATTACAGTGTAAGACCTTTGCTGGGTATTGGGAGACAGGCATAAAGGTATCTAAGAAATAGTCTCTGATTCCTTCCCTCTAAGAACTTACAGTTTAGTTAATGAAAGGCTAACCCTAATAGTAAAGCAGGAGGTGGGGAGATGGGTTCACAGAGGCATTACTTGTAAGCGAGAAGTAGGCGGGCAAGGAGATCACCAGGTAGAAGGGGAATTTAACAAGGCAGTGGATTTGAGCTGATTCTGGAAGAAAGGATAAGAGTTGGACAACTAGAAGAGGGTAGAAAAAGTCACCATATTATATACTGGTCTCAGCACTAGCTAACTTTATGACATTAGGTCTCAATCCTCTTGAGACTCAATTTCTTTAATAGTAAAATAGTAAAAATGACTGCTTTACTTTTTGTGGTTGCTGTGAACACCAAAGTAATGCTTACATAAAATATTCTTTAACGCATAAGATATAGCCCGGGCATGGTGGCTCATGCCTGTAATCCCAGTACTTTGGGAGGCCAAGACAGGTGGATCACTGGAGCCCAGGTGTTCAAGACCAGCCAAACATAGCAATTCCTGGTCTCTACAAAAAAATATTTTTTAAAAATTAGCCAGGTATGGTGGCACACAACTATAGTCCTAGCTACTCGGGAGGCTGAGGTGGGAAGATCACTTGAGCCTGGGAGATAGTGATTGTGCCACGGCACTCCAGTTTGGGTAACAGAGTGAGACTCTGTATTATAAAATAAATACATACATACATAAACAAATAAAGCATAAGGTATAATACAAAAACAAGACATGACAGGCAATTCAAGTAATTAGATAGTTCAAAGGTTTGCAATATATGGGATGAAAGGACAAGGATGGTGGCTAGAGAGAATGGCAAATGGAACCTTTTTTGTTGAAACTTTCAAATTCAAATAGCTACCCATTTTCCCTTCATAGTTTAAAGTAAAAGTTAAAAAAAAGTTATCCAAATTTGGTAGTGGTTGTAAATAATGTACTAGAGCCTCAGCTTAAAGCAAAACCTTAGTTTTGTCCTGTAACCTAAACTAACCCTTGATTCTGTTATCCTATAGAGTAGACCACAAACTCCAAGCGTTAGAAGCACAGTTCAGAGAACTAGACTTCACCAAGGATAACCTGATGCAGAAATTCGAGCATCATAGTAAGACTCTGGCAAGCCAAGCAGCCCAAGATGAGATGTGGACAGCAGTTCGGGCACTCGAGTGAGTATCAGTTGAGAAATCAGTGGGATTCTGTGGCTTTGAGAGCTTCCAGTGGTCATTCCAAAATTGAATTTTTTAGTATCTTTCCCACAATGGATTGTAAAGCAATTACATTTTCTTAGGTTATGTTTTTTAAAAAAGATTAATTTGCGCATCTCTTTATATGCCAGGAACTATGGTACATATCTCATCACAGGGTCTCTTGCTTGCCAAAGCCTTATTTGCATTAATTTCTTTTTCTTTTTCTATCTTTTTTTTTTTTTGAGATGGAGTCTTGCTCTGTCACCCAGGTTGGAGTGCAGTGGGGCAATCTCAGCTCACTGGAACCTCCACCTCCCGGGTTCAAGCCATTCTCCTACCTCAGCCTCCTGATTAGCTACCATTACAAGCGTGCATCACAACACTCAGCTAAGTTTTGTATTTTCAGTAGAGACGGATTTCACCATGTTGGCCAGGCTAGTCTCAAACTCCTGACCTCAGGTGATCCACCCACCTCAGCCTCCCAAAGTGCTGGGATTACAGGAGTGAGCCACTGTGCCCAGCCTATCTGCATTAATTCTAAAGTAAGTATTGGCAGGGCATGATGGCTCATGCCTTTAATCCCAGCACTCTGGGAAGCCGAGGCAACAGGATCACTTGAGCTCAGGAGTTCGAGAACAGCCTGGGCAACGAAGTGAGACCCCATCTCTTTAAAACAAAACAAAAAAAGGTAAGTATTTGAATTTGAATTTAAATTCTAAAGTAAATATTTTCTAAATTACAACAGCTGGTTCTCCTAGTGGGTTCATATTGAGTTAATCCTAAAAGAATTCATTTTCTGTTTCTATATATTTTTGACTGCTTAAGAAGCTCTCCATATTTTTTGTAGGTTCACTTCAATGGAATTGAATATTTTATACAGCTACGTCATTGAAGTACTTACCTGCTTGCATACTCGTGTGCTTGAGAAGCTGCCAGACCTGGTGAGAGGTCTTCCAACCTTAGCCTCTGTACTCAGACGAAAAGTTAAGAACGAGCGCATTAGAGTTGTATGGGATTCCGTTCTGGAGGAGTGCGGGCTGCAAGAAGGAGACGTCACAGCACTTTGTACGTTCTTTATTGCACACGGTAACAAGGCGGAACACTATACTGACAAAGCGAGGCAGATGTGCCTCAGGGACGTCACGCTCCTGATCACTCACATGGTAGAGAACCAGGCTCTGCAGGACAGTTTGCTGAGGGCTGTGCAGGTAATTGAGAAGGGGAAAGCAGTCAGGACCCCTGAAGAGCAAAAGTCGCCCCTCAAAGAGTCGATACCATCCGTCAAAAACTAACCTGCTACCCTATGACCCGGTGATTCCACCTCCAGTAATTCATCTTGGAAATGGCCAAAAGTATGCACAATGTATTACAGCCTTATTTTTATAGCAAAGAGTGAGGGGATGTGAAATAAATTATGGCAAATGGATACAATAGATACTTTCTGTGTAGCCATACAAAAGAATGAAGAAGCTCTTTGTGTAATGATATGAAGTTATCACCAAATGTATTGTTCTTTTCAAATGTTTATTTCCAATATATATTGCTAAGTGGAAAAAAGGTGCAAAATCAAATATATATATATGCATATATATAATGCATATTAGTTTATATATCCATAAACTTCTGCAGAGATACACAAGAAACTGATAACATTAGTTGTCAGGAAAGAAAGTTAAGAGGCTAGGGGTCAAAGATAAGAGGAGGTCTTTTCACTGTTAATCCGTTTTGTACATTTTCAATTTTGAACCATGTGAATGTGTATTACCTATTTAAAAAATAAATAAGGCTGGACATGGTGGCTCATGCCTCTAATCCAAGCATCTTAGGAGGTCAAGGTAGGAGGATCACTTGAGCTCAGGGGTTTGAAACCAGCTTGGGAAACATAGTGATAGCAATAGGAGGCAGGTAAATTCCTAGGCAGACAGGGATGGGTCCCTGGTGAAACTCAACCTTCAAGCTGAAGGGGTGGCCTGCCCCTCCACACCTGTGGGTGTTTCTCGTTAGGTGGAACCAGAGACTTGAGAAAAGAAATAAGACACAGAGACAAAGTATAGAGAAAGAAAAGCGGGGGCCCAGGGGACCGGCGCTCAGCTTACAGAGGACCCACGCCGGCACCGGCCTCTGAGTTCCCTTAGTATTTATAGATAATTATCTTTATCATCTTAAAGATAAGGGAGTGGCAGGACAATAGGATCGTTTTTAGGGAGGAAATTAGCAGTAAGACATAAGAACAAGGATCTCTGTGACATGAATAAGTTTAAAGGAAAATCCTGTGCCTTGAGATAAACCTTTTAGCAACATTGTTTCATCCTATCACATGGGGATAAACCTTGGACAATACCTAGCTTTTCTAGGAACAAAGACACACCCTGCACGCCCAAAATCCATTAAACCTTGAGTTACCACAGCACATGTCTCTTGCAAGGACAAGGTTGGGGGTAGGGTCACAGATTAACAGCATCTCAAATACAGAACAAAATGGAGTCTCTTATGTCTACTTCTTTCTATATAGACACAGTAACAGGCTGATCTCTTTCTTTTCCCCACACAAGCCAAGGACAGTTTAAAGCCTGAAAACCAAGCTATGAGTTCCGGATAGATCCATGAACCAGACTGAGAGCTCCCATTCTCATCTGGTACCCTCTCTTCTGATCGGTCCTTATCCTTCACCTATTTTACACATACCTACCCTTCCCCAATTGGTCCTCTATACTATCGTGCCTATTTCTGAATGGTGCTTTTTCAAGCATAGCCACAGATCAATCAGCATGCACTTGTCCATTTCTAGCCCACAAAAACCCATAGACTCAGGCTCGTGGCCAGCAACCCACCATCGGGTACCCTCTCACTGTCAAGAGGCTTTCTGTCACTCAGTAAATTCTACTCTGCCTTACTCACTCTCCAGTGTCTGTGTACCTCATTCTTCTCAGTCATGGGACAAGAACTCAGAACTCATCAAATTCAGGAGTAAAAGAGCTGTAACAATAGTGAGACCTCATCTCTATTTTCATAAATCAAAGCACAAAACACCTAAAATATACATCATGAGATACTATAAATTGTATCTTAATGTGTATTTGTTCTCTAATGAAGTACCACAGTTATTTATACCAGAAAGGGGATTCTTACATCTTGCCCATTTATTTATAATATTTATTGAATACCAAATGCCATGTACTAGGTGCTGTGGATAACAGAAACATTAAAAATGTGGATCCTGCCCTCGAGGTAAAGATTAAGTGCCAGTGCTTTATTTGGGAGGCACAAATTCAGGACAGCCAGAGTGAATAAAGCTGGAAGGAAGTTAGGTAGAGGAGGATGTGAAGTAATACATGGTGATGTGTTACCTTGCTGGCCCCGCCTTGAAAATGAGCCAGAAGAGACACAGCAGCTTTGTCAGCAGGTACACTCACTCAGTCTTGCCTGTCTCCAGACACACTGGAGAAACCATCCTCGCATCCTCGGAAGGAAGGAGAAAAGGGAATTTAAGTATTGTGCTTACTCAGTCCATTGGTTTCAGCTGGCAAAAGTTACTCCATGGGGAGTGACCCCCCCATACTCCCAGCATGCATTACCCAGGCCCTAGCAGCCACCGAGAAGTCAGCTCCTGCATTGTTCAGAAGTGGCAGGAGAAGCCAGAGATTCCAGAAATGCAACTGGTGAGCCACAAGCAGAGCAAATGATTATGGGTACAGAAAACAAACAAGGCAAAGGAAATCTGAGGAAGTACATGAAATATATCCATTACACAAGACAGAAGCACCTGAAGATAGAAATCAAAATCTAGGAGTTCAATAGTAAAACTGCAATAAAAATCAGTATCACTGGGCAATATATGATTGGGTGAATTTAGAAAAGGGGCATCACTGGTGGTGGGAAGTGCATTAAATTGTACATAAAAGTGCACTCTGAGGGCCGGGCGCGGTGGCTCAAGCCTGTAATCCCAGCACTTTGGGAGGCCGAGACGGGCGGATCACAAGGTCAGGAGATCGAGACCATCCTGGCTAACATGGTGAAACCCTGTCTCTACTAAAAAATACAAAAACCTAGCCGGGCGAGGTGGCGGGCGCCTGTAGTCCCAGCTACTCAGGAGGCTGAGGCAGGAGAATGGCGTGAACCCGGGAGGCGGAGCTTGCAGTGAGCTGAGATCCAGCCACTGCACTCCAGGCTGGGCGACAAAGCAAGACTCTGTCTCAACAAAAAAAAAAAAAAAAAAAAGTGCACTCTGGAAGAAGTGAATTTTTTTTTTTTTTTGAGATGGAGTCGTGCTCTGTCAACCCAGGCTGGAGTGCAGTGGTGTGATCTGGGCTCACTGCAACCTCTGCCTCCCGGGTTCAAGCAATTCTTCTGCTTCAGCCTCCCGAGTAGCTGGGATTACAGGCAACTGCTACCACGCCCAGCTAATTTTTGTATTTTTAGTAGAGATGGAGCCTCACCATATTGGCCAGGCTGGTCTGGAACTCCTGACCTCGTGTTCTGCCCGCCTTTGCCTCCCAAAGTGCTGGGATTATAGGTGTGAGCCACCAAATTGATGTTTGAAGTAGGCACAGCCATAAAGTAACCCATTTAGGATGAACCGAGAAAGCAATGTCATGAAAGCAAAACGTATGGATGACAGAGAATAAATCACAGTTGCATGTTTAAAAGAATAATGGGAGATTCCATGGGAAAAGCACGTTGTGGACATATTAGGAAGCCTGAAGGCTGGGTGCAGTGGCTCACTCCTGTAATCCCAGCACTTTGGAAGGCCAAAGTGGGTGGATCACCTGAGGTCAGGAGTTTGAGACCAGCATGGCCAACATGGTGAAACCCCATCTCTACTAAGAATACAAAAATTTGCCAGGCATGGTATTACAATGCACGTGGTATTACACGGCACGCGCCTGTAATTGCAGCTACTTGGGAGGCTGAGGCATGAGAATCGTTTGAACCCAGGAGGTGGAGGTTGCAGTGAGCTGAGATTACACCACCGCAATCCAACCTGGGCGACAGAATGAGGAGCTGTCTCAAAAAAACAAACGAACAGAAAACGAGCCTGAAATTCCAAGCTAAGGGACTGATACTGTAGACAACTGGATGACAGTCCCAGGTTTCTTTTTTTTTTCTTTTTTTTGAGACAGGGTCTTGCTCTGTCACCCAGGCTGGAGTGCAGTGGTATGATCACCGCTCACTGCAGCCTTGACCCCCTGGGCTCAAGTGATCCTCCCACCTCAGCCACCAGAGTAGCTGAGAGTACAAGCGTAAGCCAGCACATCCAGTGATTTTTTTTATTTTTTTGTAGAGACAGGTCTCACTATGTTGCCCAGGCTGGACCTGAACTCCTGGGCTCCAGTGATCTTCCCACCTTGGTCTTCCAAAGTGCTGAGATTACAGGTGTGAGCTATCACAGACAGTAACAGGCTTCTGAACCCACATTGAAATAAAAGCTCCCAAAGATTTCTACCAAGGACCCATGTCTCCTTGTTTTTCTCAACCTGGAAACCATTCCTCTACCCAGCCTGAATGCTCTCAGCAGTCTCAAAACAACTTAAAGTCTGATTTCATGCACAGTGATTTTCTTTTCTCTTCCTTCACACCGATTGAATATTCCGTCAAAAAATACAGGTCTGGAGCTGGATATGGCGTTGCAAGCTCTAGACCCAGCTACTCCAGAGGCTGAGGCAAAAGAATCCCTGGAACTCTGGAGTTGTAGTCCAGCCTGGACAAAACAGTGAGTCCCCAATTCTTTTATTTATTTATTTATTTGTATTTTTTGAGGTGGAATTTTGGTCTGTCCCCCAGGCTGGAGTGCAGTGGCACAATCTCGGCTCACTGCAGCCTCTGCCTCCCAGGTTTAGCGATTCTCCTGTCTCAGTCTCCTGAGTAACTGGAATTACAGGCACTTGCCACAATGCCCAGCTAATTTTTGTAGTTTTGGTAAGGACGGGGGTTTCACTATGTTGGCCAGGCTGGTCTTGAACTCCTGGTCTCAAGTGATCCGCCTGCCTCAGCCTCCCAAAGTGCTGGGAGTACAGGCATGAGCCACCGTGTCTGGCTTTTTTTTTTTTTCCAAAACGAGTCTCACCTTTTTTTTTTTTTTTTTTGAGACGAGTCTCATTCTGTCCCCCAGGCTGGAGTGCATCGGGGTGATCTTGGCTCGGGGTGATCTTGGCTCATTGCAACCTCCGCCTCCTGGGTTCAAACGATGTAAAAGCCTAATTCTAAAACAAAACAGAAAAAACCTCGGGGCCCAGCACACCAACTCTAAAACAAATCATAAAAGCCTCAGGCCGGCCCAGCGTGGTTACTTACTTCAACATGCATAAAATGTGAAATTATATTCTTGTTAATCTCCTTTGTAGAATTTTGATTGTTGAAACTTAAAAAACTATATATTATCTAAATGATGCCCATGAACAACATCTAAGCTCTGGGACTGAGATAGCCTTGAGGTTTGTTGCCCAAGCCAAAGGGCCTCAGGCCCTTTCAGAAGGGAAGGCAATTCTAAAGCAACCTACTCCGGCTGCAGACTTTAAGTGTCTGGGCCATACAGAAGGAAGCGTAAGTGGGTGTTAAATTGTCCCAGGTTTCTGGATTCTCTGACCACAATATTTCTTGGAGATGCTTTTTAAAGAATTTTGGAAAGCGACCTAAGCGGCTACCTTACAAATCAATAGAAACAAAAACGTACTCACAAGGGTACTGAGGCAAGTATTACTGTTCGGCTTTTTAAAATTTTTTAAAAAGTTTTTTGAGAGGAAGTCTCACTCTGTCGCCCAGGCTGGAGTGAGTGGCGCGATCTTGGCTCACTGCAAGCTCCGCCTCCCGGGTTCCCGCCATTCTCCTGCCTCCGCCTCCCAAGTAGCTCGGGACTACAGGCGTCCGCCACCTCGCCCGGCTATTTTATTTTGTGTGTGTGTACCTCGCCCGGCTATTTTATTTTGTGTGTGTGTATGATATATATATATATATATTTTTTTTTTTAAAGTAGAGACGGTGTTTCACCGTGTTAGCCAGGATGGTCTCGATCTCCTGGCCTTGTGATCCGCCTGCCTCGGCCTCCCAAAGTGCTGGGATTACAGGCGTGACCCACCGCGCCCAGCCTTTTTTTTTTTTTTTTTAAGCCAGAGTCTCGCTGTCGACCAGGCTGGAGTGCAGCGGCGCGATCTCGGCTCAGTGCAACCTCCGCCTCCTGGGTTAAAGCGATTCTTCTGCCTCAGCCTCCCAGGTAACCTGGACTACAGGCGCGCACCACCAGGCCCGGCTGATTTTGTATTTTTAGTAGAGACGGGATTTGGCCATGTTGGCCAGGCTGGTCTCAAACTCCCGACCTCAGGTGATCCGCCCGCCTCGGCCTCCCAAAGTGCTGGGATTACAGGCGTGAGCCACCGCGCCCGGCCGTGTTTGGCTGTTGAATTTGTTTTGCAGTTTCCCTTTTTCTACCCAGAAACCAAGAAACCCGGGGTGTCTGAGGCCTGGTAGAAATCTCCGGGGAAAGTCAGGCTCCACCCAGGCTGCACCAGCAGGAGCGGCGACGCCTGGGCTGGGCCTCTCCGGCTGGGAGGGCGGGCGGGGCGCAGACGCCGGAAGTCCCGCCCCGGGAGCGTCCGACCTTGGGCGGGTTTCTGGGTGGGAAGCGCGGTTTTGGCGGGCGGTTGTGACGTTGCTGGCGCTTGCCCGGTGGCTGCTGCGCCGCTGCAACGAATAGGGCTTCTGGCTGCGCAAGAGGGACCCGGGCGCGGAGCTCTGGGAAACTGCGCCGGGCGCCGGGAAGCTGAACCCGGGAGTCGCGCGTCGCCCCAGCAGCAGCGCCAAAGCGGAAGTTCTGCAGCAGCCGGAGCTCGGGATTCCTCCCGGAGCCGCGTCCCGGGGCCGGGCTGCCCCGAGCTGAGCGGAGCATCCTCTCCGGATGAGGGGAGGAGGGGACTTGGCGCGCTCCCCTCGCTGCACCGGGAGCCGCAGCCGCAGTGTTCACGCCGCGGAGCAGCCCGGCTCCTCCGACGAAAGCCTGCAGTCGTTTGCTTGCCGGACGTTTGCCTTGAAAATGGACAAAGACGCCGCCCTCCGGGGCGTTCCTGTTTGCCTGACCCTGAGAGCGCCTTTTTGCTTCGAGACGGGTTGGATGCCCCTGTTCTCCGAGTTCTGATACGCTTCTGGGCACAATATTGAAACACAAAACTGTGCTTTTGCTTTCTCTGTGGTTGGCCGAAAATAGGATTGTTTTTCGCGCAGGTGTCGTCGTTTAGTCGACTTTATTAACGTGTTAAAATGGCTCTACCCAAAGGCGCCGTCCCCTCGCGGTCCGAGTGCCAGTGCGGGATCTGCATGGACATCCTCGTGGAGCCCGTGACCCTGCCGTGCAGCCACACGCTGTGCAGACCGTGCTTCCAGGCGACCGTGGAGAAGGCGAGTCTGTGCTGCCCCTTCTGTCGCCGCCGCGTGTCTTCGTGGACTCGGTACCACACCCGAAGGAATTCTCTCGTCAACCTGGACCTGTGGAAGGTCATTCAGAAACACTATCCCCGGGAGTGCAAGCTCAGAGCGTCGGGGCAGGAGTCCGAGGAAGTGGGTGAGTAAACCCCGGCCTGATTATTGGCCGAAAGCCGCAAATCTTTGAAAAGGTGAATCATCGCTTCTCCATTTAAAAAGTACAAACAAACCAAAAAGCCCCACTGATGTTTGTCTAAATAGTTCTCAGGTTTGGGGGTTTATGGGTCCCCAAATGTCGATGGATTGTAAAGTCAAGGACAAGATTTTGTCCCTTGTCACGATGCCCGCGCTGTGTTCGATGGGTGTTTGTTTTAAAAATTAAAGAATTGCCCGTCTAGAGCCTTCTTTTTTTTTTTTTTTTTTTTTTTTTGAGACAGGGTCTCGCTCTCGCCCAGGCTGCAGGGCAGTGGCGCGATCTCGGCTCACTGCAGCCTCCGCCTCCCGGGTTCAAGCGACTCTCCTGCCCCAGCCTGCCGAGTAGCTGGGACTACAGGCGCGCACCATCGCACCCGGAATTTTTGTATTTTCGCAGAGACGGGTTTTCATCATGTTGGTCAGGCTGGTCTCGAACTCCTGACCTCCGGTGATCCGCCCGCCTCAGCCTCCCAAAGCGCTGGGATTACAGGAGTGAGCCACCGCGCCCGGCCTCTGATTTACTTATGTGTACATCTCCATTCACGTAATTCTTTATTCTCCTAGTCATGCAACGAGCCGATCGTGACCAGCCTGGCCAACACGGAGAAACCCCGTCTCTACTAAAAATAAAAAAATTAGCCGGGCGAGGTGACGGCGCCTGTAGTCCCAGCTACTCGGGAGGCTGAGGCAGGAGAATGGCGTGAACCCGGGAGGCGGAGCTTGCAGTGAGCCGAGATCGCGCCACTGCACTCCAGCCTGGGCGACAGAGCGAGACTCCGTCTCCAAAAAAAAAAATCATGCAACAAGTCTAAAATCGCTTTTTTATCACTAACCCCTACACCCGGTGGACTCAGGAGCCCCAGACTGAACCCTTGACTCTTTCCTCCGCTAGTGTGAGCAATAAGCCGTGCAGTGGTTCCTGTCTGTGCGCTCTCGTCTACGGGTCTTTTTTTTTTTTTTAAATTTTTTTTGGTCACAGTTATATGTGTACCTGCCTTTTAAACGTTTATGTATTTTATTGTGGTAAAAAACCAAAATGCAGTTTTAACCATTTTTAAACAATAGTTTAAGAAAAACAGCTTTATTGAAATACTCACATACCGAACAGTTCACCTACTAAACGTGTGCAGTTTGGCCGGGTGCAGTGGCTCACAGCTGTAATCCTAGCGCTTTGGGAGGCGGAGGTGGGAGGATCTCTTGAACCGAGGAGTTGAGACCAGTCTGGGTAACATAAATTCAATAAAATTTTTAAAAGTGCAATTTAATGGTTTTTTATATATTGCATTATTAATTTTTAAAATACTGTCCAAAATATATATAACAAACTGACATTTTAACCATTTTTAAGTACAATTCAATAGAATTAATTACATTCACAATGTAATCATCACCACTGTTTCCAAAACTTTTTCATCACCCCAGATAAACTCTAATCGTGAAGCACTGACCACCCATTTCACCTTTCCCCCTAGCCCCTGGCACCTATTCCACTTTCTGTCTCTATGAATCTGGCAATTCTAGGTATTTCATATAAGAGACTTATACAATATAGGATCTTGTGTGTCTAGCTTATTTCTCTTAGCGTGTTTCTGAGGTTCATGCACAGTGTGGCATGGATCAGTACTTCATTTTTCGGGCTGAATAATAATTTGTTTTATGGATATACTTGTTACATTTTGTTTATCCATTGGATGGACGTTGGTTTTTTTCACCTTTTCGTTATTTGAATACTGGCAATACGGACATCTGTGTACAAATATTTGTTTGAATACCTGTTTTCAGTTCTTTTGTCTACATATCTAAGAGCGGAATTGCTGGATGCTATGGTAATTCCATGTTTAGCTTTTTGAGGAACTGCCACGTTTGTTTTCTACAGTGGCTGTACCATTTTACATTTCCATTAGAGTATGAAGTTTCCAATTTCTTCACTCCCTCACCAACACTTGTTATTTTCCGTGCCATCCTAGTACATGTGAACTGGTATCTTAACTCTGTGTTTTAAAAAATGGTGGTAAAATATAACCAGACTACCATTTTAACCACTTAAAAATGCTTTTATTTTTGACTAGAAAGAAGGGAGGAAAATTTTAACCATTTGTAATGGTATGGTTCAGTGGCATCACCTCCATTCACACTGCTGTGCATCCGTCACCACCGTCCCATCTCCAGAACTTTTTAATCCTCCCAAACTGAATTTCCATACCCATTAAGCTCACTGTTCCGCCTTCCCCCCATCCCTGGCAACCACCGTTCTCCTTTCCATTTCTGTGAACCCACCTGATCTGGGTACCTCCTATAAGTGGAATTTTCATAGGTATTTGTCCTTTTGTGTCTGGCCTGTTTTACCTAGCATAATGTTTTCTAGGTTCATCCATATCGCATGTGACAGGATTCCCTTCCTTTTGAGGCTGAATAGTATTCCAGTGTGTGTATATGCTACGTTAAAAGAAACCTATTCATCTGTGAGTGAACGCTTCGGTTGCTTCCACTGTTGGCTATTAGAAATAATGCTGGTGTGAACTTGGGTGTACAAATGTCTGTTCAGGGGCCTGTTTTCTATTCTTTTGGGTGTATACCTCAAAGCGGAATTTCTAGATCATATTGTAATTCTATGTGTAATTGGTTTTGGAAACCACCATACTGTTTTCCACAGTGACTGTGCCGTTTTACATTCCCACCAACCGTGCATGGGTGTCCAGTTTCTCTGCACCCTTGCCAACACTTGCTATTTTCTGGGTTTTGATAGTGGCCATCCTAATGGGTATGAAATACTATCCCATTGTAGTTTTTATTTGCATGTCCCCAATGACTAAGGATGGCGAGCATCTTTGCATGCATTTATTGGCCATTTGTATATCATCTTTGGAGAAATATGAAATATCTATTCAAATCCTTTGCTCATTCTTTTTGTTTCTGTTTTTCTCCCAAAACCTAGAAAAAGCCACAACTTTGCCTGTCATTTAATCAGGTTGTTTTTTTGCGTTGTGGGCATTCTCCTGCCTCAGCCTCCCAAGTAGCTGGAATTACAGGCATGTGCCACCATGGCCAGCTAATTTTTGTATTGTTAGTAGAGACGGGGTTTTACTGTGTTGGTCAGGATGGTCTCAATCTCTTGACCTCGTGATCCGCCTGCCTCGGCCTCCAAAAGTGCTGGGATTACAAGTGTGAGCCACCGCGTCCGGCCTGTTTTAGTTTTTATCCACCATAGATGAGTGTTTTCTGTTCTGGAACTTCATATAAATGGAATTCTTTTTTTTTTTTTTTTTTTGAGACGGAGTCTCGCTTTGTCGCCCAGGCTGGAGTGCAGTGGCCGGATCTCAGCTCACTGCAAGCTCCGCCTCCCGGGTTTACGCCATTCTCCTGCCTCAGCCTCCCGAGTAGCTGGGACTACAGGCGCCCGCCACCTCGCCCGGCTAGTTTTTTGTATTTTTTAGTAGAGACTGGGTTTCACCATATTAGCCAGGATGGTCTCGATCTCCTGACCTCGTGATCCGCCCATCTCGGCCTCCCAAAGTGCTGGGATTACAGGCTTGAGCCACCGCGCCCGGCCAATGGAATTCTTTTTATTTCCTAGGGCTACCGTAACAAAGTACCACAAACTTAGCAGAAGTTTATTCTCTTTCAGTTCTGAAGACTAGAACTCCAAACCCAAGATGCCAGCAGGGAGCAGGGACGTGTACATTGAAGGCTCTAGGAGAGAATCTGTTCCGTGCCCTTCTCCTTAGCTTCCAGTGTGGCTGCAATCCATGGTGTTCCTGGTTTGCAGCTGAGTCACTCCGGTCTCTGCCTCCACTGGCACATGGAGCTTCCCAGTGTGTCTGTCTTTACATGGCCGTCTCCTCTGTGTGTCTCCGTTTTCTTACTGGGATACTAGTTATATTGGATTAAAGGCCCTCTACTCTTTGTATGAACTCCATTATATCTGCAACAACCTGTTTCCAATAAGAGCACATTCTTAGTTACTGGGAGTTAGGACTTCAGCATATCTTTTTGGGGGTTATTCATCATAAGGTTCAATTTTTTTTTTTTTTTCTTAGACATACTCTCACTTCATCACCCAGTCTGGAATGCAGTGATAGGATCTTGGCTCACTGCAACTTCCGTCTCCTGGGTTCAGGTGATTCTCCTGCCTCAGCCTCCTGAGTAGCTGGGATTACAGGCACGCACCACCACGCCCAGCTAATTTTTGTATTTTTAGTAGAGATGAGATTTCATCATGTTGCCCAGGCTGGGTTCAAACTCCTGACCTCAGGTGATCCGCCCTCTTCGGCCTCCCAAAGTGCTGGGATTACAGGTGTGAGCCACCGCACCCGGCCTAGGTAGTCGTTTTTTAAGTATTATTCCGCTGTTGACGATGCTGTGTATTATTGGCCATTCTCCACTGATAGTGCCTCAGTTGCTTGCAGTTTGGGATATTATGAATAAAGTTGCTGAGAAGATTCTTGTACAAGTTTTTTTGTGAGTATGTGTGGCCTGATGTTTTCAGGGTTTTTTTCGGTAAATACTGAGGAGCTGGAATTACGCAGCGTAGAGCAGGTACACATTTGGTTTTCTAACAAACTACCAGCCAGGCACAGTGGCTCACGCCTGTAATCCCAGCACTTTGGGAGGCCAAGGCAGGTGGATCACGAGGTCAGGAGTTCAAGACCAGCCTGGCCAAGATGCCGAAACCCCATCTCTACTCAAAATACAAAAATTAGTTGGGCATGGTGGTAGGCACCTGTAATAACAGCTACTCGGGAGGCTGAGGCGGAGAATTGCTTGAACCCAGGAGGTGGAGGTTGCAGTGAGCCGAGATCGCGCCACTGCACTCTAGCCTTGGTGACAGAACGAGACTCCATCTCAAAAAAAAAGAAAAAAAAGAAGAAACTACCAGATCTTTTTTGAAAGTGGTTGTGTCATTTTGTAATCCCACCAAGAGCATACAAGTTCTGGTTTCTGTAC